CGGACTTAGAGAGCCCTAAGAGAAGCCCAAGAAAGGGAATACGCACTGCGATTGCGAGCCTTTCCCACCAAGATGGCCCCAGAGGCCCCCCTGGGCGCCCCCAAGAGGCCCCAAGAGCCCTCCAAGAGGCTCCTGCAGGTTCTAGAAGGCCCCCAGGTGCCTCGACAAACGTTCCACGAGGCTTCTGAGAGGCATCTCTAGAGACTCCAGCATGACTCCACCTCAAGAGCTTCCCGAACAAACACAGGCATCCAAGGAGCCTCCGTCCCACAGGCCAGAGGTGGCGGGCCCCGAGCAGCTGCAGAATTGCCTCACGCTTGTTCCATTGAGTTCGCTTGTTCACTTTCCCCACTCCTCCTCCCCCCTCCCCCCTCCTCCCTCCTCCCTCCTCCCTCCTCCCTCCTCCCTCCTCCCTCCCGACCCCACACCACGACCAACAGATGTCGCCCGCTAATTCGGACCAGCCCGACGCGCCGTGCTGTCTCCCTTCGCATGTTCACATCGCGCGTCGTCATCGTATCATCGTGTCCGTCCTCCTTTACGTCCGCTCTCCCTTTCTTATCCGTCTCCTGCGCATATTCCACGTCCTCCTCTCTTCCTGCTGCTTCGCCTCTTCCTCCACCTCCTCCTCCTCCTCCTCATCAACCTCGTTCTCCTTCACCTCCTCCTGCCCGCCCATTCTCGTCTTCCTATTCGTCCTCCGCGTTCTCGTTTTCGTCCTCGTTGTCCGCCTGCTCCTCCTGTTCCTGCTTCTGCGCCTCCTTTCCCTTCATCTCGTCATCGTCCTCCCCCTCCCCTTCCTCCTCGTCATCCTCGTCCTTCTCGTCCTCGTCCTCGCTCCCCCTCCCCCTCCCCCTCCCCCTTCTCCTCCCCATCCTCCTGTTCCTCCTCCTCCTTCTCCTCTTCGTCCTCCTCCTCATCCGTCCTGCTCGTCCCGAGGTCGCCCCTAAAGTCCCCACATCATTCCAAAGCACACACGGGGCGATTCACAGTTTTTTTATCCGACGACGCCTCGCGAACACCACAGACGGCCGTCGAACCCGAGCACGCGAAGTGCCAAGACGTGCGGAACCTTTCATGTAACTCTATTCCCCCCCTCGCCTCCTCCAAGTTCCACCCAAAGATCACACGAACGGAACCCGAACCCACACTGCAAGATGTCCAACGCGACTGCGTAGGCTACCAAGACTACCCTGAAGTGCCTCAACATCCGTGGCAGCCCGAGAGATCCACAAGACGGCGCCAAGGGCCCAGGCAGCAGGGCCCTAAGAGAGACCAAAGAAAGGCAACTCGAACTGACCTGCGGAGCCCTCCGCCCCGCGGGAACCCCCACGCCGCCGTCGACGCGCACGAAACTCCCCAGAAGCCTGGAGACGCGCCCAAGACCCCAACGCGAGGCCCCAAAAGGCCTCGCCCGTCAACTCCGCCCGTCTCTGGGGGTCGGCGGAGTGGCGGGAAGCCTCTTGGATAGTAGATGCGCTTTTCCATCGGAACGCCTTTGAAGGGGCCCCAGGACACACAACTATATACACACAAATAAAAAGATTCCCCATAGTTTCCCACAGTTACTGCGGTTTTGTCTTCCCCCCACTCCCCATATGTTCCCATATTTTCTGGGGAATCGACGATGAATTGTGTCTGTGTGTTTCTGTCCCTCCTGAGTCTTCAGTGCGTGAAAGTGGTGCTCCCGATGCAGCGCGCGCCTCAGTGTAGGATCGGCGCCTTGCTCCCGTCGTTCAGAATGGCGCTCTCGCCACAGCGCGGGCCGCTTCTGGTTCCGAGTCCCTCCTCCTCCGCCTTCTTCTCGTCCTCTTGTCCTCCTGCTCCTTCCGCTCCTGGCATTCCTGCTCCTGCTGCTGGCGTTCCTCCTCGTCATCCGCCTTCCTCATCCTCCGTCTCCTCTTCCTCCAACTCATCCTCCAGCTCATCCGCGACCTCTTCCTGCTCTCTTTCTGATTGCGCATGCGACGATGATTTGCTTGAGGGGGTCTAGGTTCGATATAACACCAGTCGGCCGATTGGGCAACAAAAAACGCGCACTGGGAAGGGATGGGTCTGAGGGCAGATACAACGCGAGCGCACCCAGCTTGCCCCTCCCCTCTCCTCCCTAGTCCCTCTCCTCGTCGCCCTCCCTCCCATCACTCTCCCCTCTGTCCTCGCGTCCCCCGACGCCCGTCTCACTCCGCCCTACCTTCGAACTTCCCTATTGCCCCGCCTCGTCCTCCTCCGCCTCTTCTCTACATACACGGGATCCTCATCGCCTTCGTTGTTTCAAACAGGCTTGCCAGACCCGAGCTCGGGAGGAGCGAAGACGAACGAAAAGGCGATTCGGGGCGCTGAAAGAGATACACATCCGCGCATGAAGCAAACGTTGATTTCCACCTGCTCTATTCTTCACACGCCTGCGGTTTGTTCCTCCCATCTCCCCGTTAGATGCGGACGGTCCTTGGGATGGCTATTAGCATCCAGTAATCCAGTGGCAACTTAGGACAATCGAGTCTGGTCCTCAAAGTGTTTGTATGAATTCAGCGCCAGGTTCGGTGTTCCTACCATCCCTCTGGGCGCAGGTGGTTTAACGAGTCGCTTTTCCAACCCCCTTTTCCCCGTCGGGGAGGGGATTACCCCTCCCCCTACTCCCCCCTCTAGGTCTGGAAGAGAGGGGAGTCGCGTGTCGTCATATGGTCCAAGATGGTCCAAGATGGTCTCAAGAGGGCCCCAGATAGCCCAAGATAGCCTCCAAGATGGCACAAGATAGCCCAGGACGGCTTGAGGGGTCTTCTAACATACCTCCGAGATGCCCCACGACCGCCACAAGACGGTTCCAAGTGGTTACGGAGCATCGCAAGCACGCTAAAAACAACTCCGAAACTCAAAGGATTCAATAATGTGTGCCTTATCGCCGCTTCGTTTCCAATGAGCTCTTGAACCCTCAAGACGGCTCCAAGATGACCCAAGAGGGGCTCCAAGAGGGGCCCAGGAGGGCCAAGACGGCCCCAAGAGCGCTCAAGAGCGCCCCAAGACAATAGTTTGAGGGCTTTGCGACGGGGGAACTCTCATTAGATCCGCCTCCATGTTCTCAAAATAGTTTGAGGGCTCTCCGACTCCTCCAAGATAGCCCAAAATGCGCTCCCAAGGTTCCCAAGGGAACCCCCAGAGAGCCCCAAGAAGGCCCAGAAGGCTCCCACAGTTGTCTCAGGGGGGCCCCGAGATGGCTCTAAAACGCATCCAAAAGGCTCCCAGAGCCAAAGACCCGCGATGCTTTCAAAAATTGACTCCTGGAAGCGCGCTGCTACAGTCCCAAGGTCAAGGCATCTCGCTTGGGAAACGTTTCCGGATGGGCTGGTGGCAATTCGCGAGGCGTCAAGAACATGATTCAACTTACTACAGCACTCGTGCTACCGTGAAGAACCCATAATAAGGACGAAGGGGCTTTTCTAACCAAGGCGGGCTCAGGCCACAAACAGGCTCCACGGCATAAATCGATGGAGCGGCCCGAAACCCGAGCCCCTCCTGAGCCCAAAGCGGCCCTTAGTTCAGCGTCTTGACTGCTCAGATGCGTAGCACGTGGGTGCGTCACACGGGACCGCGCACTTGCAATGGAACAGGAGCAGCTGCGGCGGCGGCAGCAGCAACTGGCCAGACCCTGGCCGCTGGTCGCCCTTGGGATGGAGACAACTTAAGATCATATCAGCCAGCGTTGACTCCAAATAGATAGATGGGCAGGAGAAGAGAGAAAGAAGGAGAAGACGAGGAGGAGAGGACTGGAGGAGAGGAAGCCAAGCATGAAATGGTAAGCAAAAAAAAGCTAGCAAAAAGAAGCGAGCAGCCATGCAAGTACGGAGAGCCATAGGAGTAAGCTTGGGCATATAGGCATTGGCATAGGCATAGGAATACATACGACTCATACGAACCCATAGGAATACATAGGACTCGCCATTGGAAATAGCTGGGGGGTGCCATTGGAAATAAGGGGGGGCCATTGGAAAAATGAGAGGGGGGGGGCATTGGAAATAAGGGGGGGTGCCATTGGAAAAGGAGGGGGGATCCTAAAGACCACTTGCTTATGATGAGCTAGTACTCCTATAGGGCAAGCCTATTTGGAGAAAATGCTGTATTGAATGATCGGTGTTGGGTGAGCCTTCATAGGAACCTCTATGGACTGTGGACCTCCGCGGCCCCATCATAAGCGTGATGTCAACGAAATGTCGTCCAAGATTCGACCACCCCTCTTCACCCCGTCGTCCAGATATCGCCCAGAGTTCGACCCAATGTCTACCAAACCCTACGAAATCCCGAAGAAATCCCCAAAACATTGCTGGACTCCCTGGGGCCCCCATGAAGGACCACACAATCGGTGTCATGCCGAACGCATGCTCAAAGCACTCTCAAGTAGAATGCTGCAGAAATGCGCATAGCAGAACATCCAGTACGGAAGCATAAAGTGGATTGAAAAGAAAGTATACTACACTGCGGTGCGAGGAAGCAACGCTGTAAACTCTTCATGCGCAACTGCGATAAACAATATCAAAACAGAGTGGTGTACACAAGCTCCGCGGCGTACACGGCCAATGCGGTGCGCGAAGAAGCTATGGGCTTCGCATCCAAAGAAAACTGGGATGATGCGACCCGCTGCACCCACACCTCCCTGTCAGGCCAGGCTACTACTTTGGTCGCCGCGGCCAACATATCCGTGAGCCTGCAACGATTGTCTACCCGCCCACTTTCCAAGGGGGTGCTGCGAGACCCCTTGGCCATGCCTGAGCAGTTGTTCACGTCTCTCACTTCCTCTCCGCTCCCCATTTCCCCGTCCCGTTCTTGTCCTCCTCCTCTTCCTCCCCCTCCTCGTCGTCCTCCTCCTCCTCCTCCTCCTCCTCCTCCTCCTCCCACACCTGCGCCACACCCTCCCCTCCACTCCTCGAGCCCATCCCCTCCCCCCTCTTCTCCCATCCCTCTCGCTCCCGTCCCCCCCATCTCTCCGTGCCCCCCCCGCACGGGCAGGCCTATCTGCACAGTCTCCTCATCGCTGGACCAATCCCAGGCCTTGGGCCACCGCGAGTCCAGCGTGGCCGTCTGCGGCAGGGATCGATGGGGAAGCGGGGGGCGGCATCGCTGTTGAAGAGAAGGGGATCGAGAGGGAAGAGGAGTCAGAGCAGCAGGAGAGAGAGAGAGAGAAACATGCGAGTACGAGCGGAGGTGGTACACTTCAGCCGATCACCCGTTTGGAACTGCCTTTTTCAAAAATGGTTTACCGGTGGTTGCATCCAATCGGTCCGTGACCCACCACGGCATCGTCTCGATTCCAAAGGTCCCGTCGGTCTGTTCTGCTCTGGTTGCATTAGTTCCCCGCTGCAGTGTGTTGTAGTTTGAAAATGGTCGCAAATTCCCCACACTAGTTTCATTTAGGTATGCTGCAAATCCCAATTCACAACAGCATGCGTCAGCCTCTCCAGGGGCAATGTCGTGCGGAGGCAGAGCCAGTACGGTTTTTGCGGTCGGCATCCTCTCGACGGTGTTTCCGACGGTGTTTGGAAGTGATACCAGTCAAAGAAGCGTTTCTGATTAGCTGGGCTGTCTGTGTAAGCACGGAGAAAGGAACACAGCTGCTTGCCTGGCGGGCGACGCCGAAGCCAGGCATGGGCATGGCGCACTGCGATCAGATAAAGTTTACCCGAGTTGGTTGCGTCACAAGCGGGTGGTAGGACTGTCGTCGGCGTTAGGAATGAAGGCACGGGCGGTTACCAAACAACTGACACACACCTGCCACGTCCGCCGAGGCCCAACGCCGGGAACGCACGCATCTCGACCACTGGTGACGCCGCTGCCGCCTCGAGCGAACTGCTCGCTCAACGTCACCGCGGCAAATATTCGGAGCAAGACGTGCTGGAGGACTGTGCAGCCAGCGCTCCTCCTCTGCCCCCCTGCTGCCAGGGCGGCAAGGGTCGACGCCGCGCAGGAGGCGAAGGGGAGGGGAAGGGAGGAGGTGGGAGGAGGAGGAGGAGGAGGAGGAGGAGGAGGAGGAGGAGGAGGAGGAGGAGGAGGAGGAGGAGGGAGGAGGAGGAGGAGGAGGAGGAGGAGGAGGAGGAGGAGGAGGAGGGGGAAGAGGGAAAGGGGGCCGCAACGGCAGCAGACGGGCCCAGGAGCAGGCAAAGGGCGGGAAACGAAGGCGGGGGCGGTCGTCCGACCAGCACGAGGGGCGGGGAACAGGCAGCTCTGGAACACGCCTCCTTACTCACAAATATACGAACACGTGGGGGCGACCATGTGGAGGAGAGGAAGAGGAAGAGGAGGAGGAGGAGGAGGAGGAGGAGGAGGAGGAGGAGGAGGAGGAGGAGGAGGAGGAGGAGGAAGGGGGGGGGACCCACCGACCAAAACCACCCCCTGTTTTCTTGCCCCGAGGCAGTCCAAGCTTGCGAGCAAAGAGGCCCCCCCCCCCCCCCGCGAGGGGGGTCGAAAAGGCGCAGTACCCCAGGGGGGGGGGACAGCGACCTCGATCCCGCGACACATCGCCGATGGATCGGCGATAGGCCCCCGACGTCACAATCGCACGCTCCTGGGCGAGGCGGGAAGCCCAGGCTCCGATTGGGGACGCACGAGCGATTGGGGGTCGACGCTCCCCCCCTGAGCCAGCACTGCCACGGCCCCTGACCCCACTCCCCCCTTCGAACCCTGCCCCCCCCCCCGCGCGGGCCTCGAGGAGGTGGCGCTCGGCGTGCCTCTCGGCGGCCTCCGCCGGGCCCCAAAATCCTCCTGCCCCACTCCCGACGCGATCCCCATATCCCCCCCTTCACCCTCCTGCACCTGCACCTGCTCCTCCTGCTCCCGCAACTAGCGATCCGCACACTTCAACTACAAACTACAAACTTACATCATATAAGTACCGCCCGCGCGCCAATCACGCGCCCCAGCGCCAGCCACCCACGCCTCGGCGAGCGCTGGGTCGCAGCCCAGGGAGAGCAGATCGACGTCGGCGGCGGCGATGTGGTCCAGGCGCTCCAGCGCGGCGCGGCGCGGCACGTTGGTAGGAGCCGCGGCGCCGCCCACGCAGCGCGCATGCAGCACCGGGCGTGCACCGCGAGCAGGTCAAGGGAGCGCAGGCTCTCGGCACCGATCCGCCACTACGACTCGAACGCGACGGGGAGGACGTTGCAGCCGCACCTCGCCCCGCTTGCGCGGCGCCGCCGCATACGCGGCGTCGCCCAGGCGCACGCCTGCGTGCTCGTAGCGGCCGGCGCGCGGGCACCTGATGGAGACGTCCACGCAGGGCGGCTGCACGGAGCCGGGACAACTCACCACCAAGTCCATGATGGCCTCCTGCACGGCTCCGTCCTTGCCGTACTGCACAAGCTCTGGAACGTTGGCCTCGGCGCGGCACGCCTGGAGCTGCCTGGCGAGCCCGGCGGCGAGGGCCCGGCGAGGCCGCATTCGGGCAGGACCATCTTTGCAGAGCTGCGGGTGGCGGAGGGTGGGATCCAGCACCTGCCCGCGCACCTCGCCATCAGCTATCACCACCCTCCGCACGGCGCGGCACGCGACAAGTGGCGCCCCAAATGGCGCTCGGGGCAGGCGGTGAAGTGTCGCAGCCCAGAAGTAGGTGGTAGGGAAACACTCCTCCTGGCAAGCTGGGAGCTGCATCCAGGTCGCACCAGCGCCACGACCACCGACAGACAGCAAACCCTCTTACCGCTGTGCCGAGACGCCCCCAAAGCCTCGCCGCAGCAAGCGCACACAGGTGACGGAAGATCGGGCTCGCGAATAGCCTTGGCAGAGAGACGGTTGTGGCACCGCCTACAAGGCACCAAGCTGACGCACCCCCACGTCCGCAGACCATGGGCCCATTTCGAACACCTTTCTGTCGCGCCGGATCCGTGAACCGCACGCCGCCGTCAAAGGGAACTTCGGCCCCAGCTGCCGCCAGCCTGCCCCGCGCGCCCTCGGCTTCGGCCCCCCCGGAGCAATCGAATCGGCACGCCCAAGACTGCTGCCAGGAGAGGGACGCGGGCCTGCATCACGATCCAAGCTGCCCAGAGCGCACCATCTGCACTGAGGCCCTCGGCCTCGCGCTGGAACCCGATGCCGCCGCAGCTGCCGCATAGACGCACCTGGGACAGGGAATGCGCACCGAGATGCTTGCCGAGGATCGCGCTGGCCATGACCTCCTCGATCTCGGCACAGAAGCGGGGGGGCTACTAGGCGCGGGTCGCACGAATCGGCATGCGCAACAGACTTCGAAAGCATGAACCAAGCGACGCGGGCCGTGGCGGCGGTGGGCTCGGCGACTGCGCCCTCCCAGATGCGTTCCGCGAAGGCCGAGGCCTTGGCGGCCCTGCTGCAGGCAGGCCCGAGCAGCGCACCTCCAGCATGAATCTCCACAGCGCCCCCCCCCTGGACGGCACCCCCCAGCAGCTCGAAGACTGCCGCGGGCACGAGGCATCAGGCTGGTCAGGCGCAGCAGCGACCCTCGGAGCTGGCGACCTTCGAGGTGAACACACTGCGGAGCACAGACCTTGCACTCGCGATCACGGACTCGGCGCCCACCCATTACCAGCCCCACAAGCAACGCAGGCCACCGATCGGCTAGAGGCTTTGCCTTGCCGAGCAAGTACGCGTCGTCCTGGTGGCCGACTCTGGCGCTCCCGCCCTGTCGAAGCGTCGGGGCTCGGTCCACGCACTCAGTCCTCGAGCCCCATGGCGAACATGATCTGCACAAGCCTCGAGCCCTGCCAACCTCCGCGGAACGCCTCCGACCGCCGCCAACCGCCGGAGACACGCTGCCAGACGAATGTCTGGCCCGCCTTCCACTGGGTCGCCACTAGGGCCGCAACCGCCAGCATGCGGCGCCAGCATCCTCGCAGGCAGCTGGACCCGGGCGCCCGGCCGTAGGCGTTCTCAAGGTCGATGCACACGAGCGCATCCGGCCCGTCCTCGTCCTCCTCGCCGCTCTCCACCCGAACCTGCGCCGCCTCCACCGGCAGCGCATTCGGAAGCACCGCTGGGCGCCCCGACTCAGCGGCACCTGCCTCCTCCCACTCCTCGGCAGGCGGCCTCCTCCTGCCGCTGCCACCGTGTCCTCCTGGTTGCGGCCCAAATCCTCCCAAAGCTTTGCCAGTCCCGGTCCGAGCCCTCCAGGTCCCGGGGCGCTCGGTGCCAAACTCGCGCCGTTCCCGCCGCCCCCGGCTTTCGGACCCATTGGCATTCGGAGGCAACCCTTGGAAACAGAAGTGCTTGCTGCCATGGGCATTTTCTTCAACCCTCCACTGTGATATGGAAGATTGTCGATGGATCTTCTCACTCGCGGCCTCGCGAGGGGCGCAGCTCTAAGGCCAAGGACCCCAGTTCGAAATAAAACGGCAGCGGTGGGCAAGGGATGCAACACAAACCCTCCGGGAGTGAGCTTGAATCACACTCCTCCTAGTCGCCGTCTCGGTCGGTCGTGGCCTCTGACAGGCCCGAGTGGGACTATAGCAAACAAGTCACTCGCCAGAAAACACGGAGATGAGCAAGCAAACGGCTTGCGCGGCATAAAAGGTATACTCAGCAATGGCCAGGGTTCGATCGCGATGCGACAAAACCCAAAAGGAATACAGCCATCTCCTCAATATAGTAAGTGCGATCGTCATCACAACAAAAACTGCGCGCACAGAAACCAATGAAACTCTTCTACAACAAAAAACGCGGTGTCACGTGTGGATCTTTATCTGGGTGAAGAAGCTGCGATTCGGAATACATAAATCTTGACCGGGCGCATGGTATTGGCAACGATGCGGGATACATAAATCTTGACCGGGCGTATAGTATAGGCAACGATGCGAAGACTGGGCGTATAGTGTAGGCAGTAGAACATGTCCGGTCTGATCGGCCAAACTGCCGTCAAACCAAGCGGGGGTCACCTTTTCTTCGGCTTCGCCGGCTTGTCCGCTAGTTCTGACCCCCGCCAAACATCTCTGCCTGTGAGCTTCCACCAACGGCCTTTCAGGTCATTCATCACACTCTCCGGGAAGATCGTGAAATCGGGATCTCCAAAATTATAATGCCGATGCAGCCACGAAGCGTGCTTGTTGCAGGTCTTGCAAGTGGTGTATACACTATGCGGGTTGTGACCGATGACCACATCATGATGAGAAATGCCAGTCACGCAACTGATCATGTCACTCGGCTGCACCGTCGGGGAAGATCCGCTCCACGACACAACACTGGCTGATGAGGCTGAAACGAAACTCGATGAACTCGTCACGGAAACCACAGTTGGTGATGCAGGGGCCGAGCCGAACTTCCCTGCGACTTTACTGATCTTGATCGTCCAGATCCCCGTGCTGATGCTGCAGTGTACGGTGATGGCGGTGCGCCGGCTGGTGGTGGTTCTGTCGGTACCTGTGGCGGCGGCCGCTGCTGAATCGCAGCCGATGCGACTGAACTTGATGCCTGTGCGCTGCTGCATACGTCCGCGTGGGGCATCGTGATGTCACCATCGTGGTCACGATCCTCTGGAATCGTGGGTGCTACGTTGCGGCGTCGGCCGAGCATGCGGCCTTCCCATCCAGGGTGCTCACCCATGGCCTTCGTATCGGCGGCGCTCTCCTCGTTGGCGATCGCGTTGTTCTGCCTCCGGATCGTCCAGAGAGTCATGAAGATGCTGAAGCCGATAGTCATGCCGAGGACCAGCGTGAACGTCGACAGGCCAATATAGAAGCTGTAGTCCGGTATAGTCGGCGTGGGCGTAGGCTGTCCCTCGACCTGTCCAATGCAGGTGAATAGGACTGATGCGAGCATAGCAGCGCGTGGCTGCCGGGTCCCATAGGTGTTTGCGAGCCCCGAAGAACGACAGCAAGACGCCAACCTCCATCGTCTACGTCAAGGCGTCCGCGACCATGGCCCGGGTAGGGATCCAGCTGAGCTTGAGCGCACTGTTGGGGTGCACGGCCTCCTTGATCATGGAGGCGACGATGCGGAACCGCTTGTCAGTAGATATCTGAAGCGACGTGCGTCACGAGACCCTTGCTGTCGCTGTAGATCTCCCCAGGGCGCTTGTCGGCGAGCACGTCGATCTGCTTGAGCGCCGCCTGGGGTTATAGGCCTCGGTCAGCAGCCGTCGGAACCACATGTATGTCTCCGACCCCTCGATGGTCGCGTAGCCTTCGGCAGCGAGGGTCGACTTCACCGACCTCTTGACAGTGCCAGAGTGCCAGGCGACGGGCAGGCACAGGTCGCACTGGCCGCCGACGACGTCACGCGGGCGATGGGTGAGCCCCATCACCATGCCCCACTGGCTCTTGACGCCGTCCACGTTGGCGAACGCGGCGTCGCTGAAACACACGGTGATCGCCGTCTTCAGGTCGACAAGCTTGCGCTTGAGCAAGATCGCGAAGTTCGCAGTGGAATGCACATTTGCGACTGTCTTGTTGAGCGTCTTCGCGTCGGCCACGGTAGCGACGTCGGCGCGTCGAGCTGCAAAGCTCACCGGGCAGGCGGCGCCCACCCGGGTCTGCACTGCTAGCCACAACAGCTGCCCGAGCGCGTGGCGGTAGCTCACCACCTCGGTGGCGGTGAGTCGGTCCTCAGCTCCTCGGCCCTTCTGGGCCTTCAAGTCGACGTAGTCCACCTGCGCGACAGCGGTGGCCTGGGTCACGCGGAACTCATCGTCGAAATTGGTAATCGTACGTCCGCAGTACTTGATGGCCCCTTCGACTGGCTTCAGGTGTAGCTTCTTCCCCAGCGATGCGATAGTGG